TGCTCAGACCATTCTCTATACTCGTATGTTATGGACCTAATGTGTAGATACTAGTTGTATAATTTCTATTTCTATGAGGGGCAGAAATAGAAATTAAAACATATTGGTTAAAGTTGGTTTTCATTCCTTTTGAACTTCCACAACCTTTCAGTTTTGAAAACCAATTACAACCTTTAAAAGGTTATGGTCCCTATTCCTTCTCAAGTGGAAAAAATAAGAACACTGCCATTTTTCTTTCTAAATCCTCTCAAGGAGAAACATAAGGCACCAAAGGGGAAAGGATTAGAAGGTAATAACATAATCAATAACAAAGAGTTCATTGATAATCACGCTTCCGTTTAACCGTTCATCAATGGATTCAGGTATGTCATTTTGTCTTGATTTCTTGATAATACACATGGTAAACGATCCAAAGTGTAAGGTTTATGTTCTGAAATTTATGTTTACAAATGTCCTTTTGACAACTTGACTTTTTTTATAAAGTGAAAAAAATTATTATGTTTATAATAATTTTTTTAATTGAACAAATAGTTGTGAAAAAAAAAATTTATTTGTTCAATTAAAAAAATTGATTGATATATATGATGTAATATTTTACTTTTTTTTTAACCAAAATGTTATGTGTCAAAGGAGCTCTTAATTAAGACAAGCCAAAATACAAAAAAATAAAAAAATAATAATGTAGGATCTAAATTCACTTTAGTGTAAGTTTCATTATATGAGAATTTGAATTTGAAGTACATTGTATTTTTGTCTGGATTCTTACTCTCTAATAATATTTTTTTTTTCTACTTTTATTTTGTAACAAGATAAAAAATATCCTATTTGACAATGATGTGATTGATCAATTCTAAAAAATAAGAACTAGATTTTGATTGACAGCAACCAAAAAATCAATATATTAGTTACAAGTTTATTTTTTTTAAAAAATTATTTGACAAATTTATTTTTTTCTAAAAAAAATCATTTTAATCACATTAAAAAGTTATTAAATAAAACTCAAAGAATTAAGAATATATTACACAAATTATTTTTTATTAGGATTCACTTTTTATAGTCTTATTTGTAATTAATAAACAAACCTTGTAACCATGTGTCAAAAGGGAACCTTATTTTTTTTTGGAACGATGAAAGGGAACCTTAATTTGATTAGCATTTTGAAATGGCACCAAATTTGGGATATTATGGAAGGCTTGAAATATGCACCTGTCTTGAAGTGGAACTGTGGGTAGTCTACAAGGGGCTAACTATCATACTCCAACGAGGTTTCAATTAAGTGATAATAGAAACAGATGCGGAGCAAGTGATGAAACTGTTAAGTGAGGATCCGGGAGAAAAATGTCCTTTTAGGGGCATTGTGGAAGATGCACGTATTATCATGAGAGGATGTGACCGTTCCATCCAGCACATTCGAAGGGAAGCCAACATTTGTGCAGATGCAATGGCCAAATTAGGCGAATATCAACCAGCAGATCTTCTTATTGTAAATGAACCACCTGAAGAATTCTGCACCTTACTTGTGGCGAACATTGTGCATCTCTCTGGGGAGAGTGCTAGGATGTAGTCCTTAGTTTGTTTTTAGTTTCCGATTATTATTATGTACTATTAATTTCAAATAGAAACATGTGCAAAAAATTAGAAATGATGATTTGGTCATATTACATTAAACACGACTTAATAGAATACTAAAAAAAATATAGGTTAGATGGAATAAAATAATTGGAAAGAGGATTTATCAAAAAAATGACCCTTGTAAAAAATACAAAAAAAAATAAAGAGAGACCATGGTACACACCTATACACCTTATAACTAAAAAAAAAAAAAAAATAGTATAATTTTATATTTTCTAAATTCTAAAAATATATATATATATATATATATATATATATAACCAAACACCATATAAGATATAACCAAATATCTCATAAGTCATAATTAAAATATTATCATAATTAAATAATAAAATGACATAATTAGATATACATATGACATACCCTTTTGAACGTGTGTATAATAAAATTTTCCTACATTTAAGGATATCAGGGTTGTTTGGGATGCCCTAAATAAGTGTATTTTTTTTGTCTTTTTTAACTAAAAAGTTGAGAAAAAAAATATGAATATTTGGGTTAACTTTTTGTCATTTTACGAAAAAATGTGTAATAAAAAATTGTATAAATAAAGTGTATAGGGGAAGAAAGTTGAGTGATTGTACGGCTGTCCTCCTGCCCCAGCGTGTGTTACACAGAAAATAATTGCCTCCTTCGGGGCAAAGTGTTTGGGCAGTGATGGTTGGTCCGTGAGGGGTCACCATGGGTTCTATTTTAATAATCTGAACCGTTCAATATGTACAACTCGTTGATTATTATATGCTTATAAAAAATCACGTTGATCGGATATCGATAGCTATATGATCGGATTAGTTTTTTTCAACAGTTAACTATCATACCATCCGTTTTGTTTATACAAAACTGATTTAATCATATAGTTAACGATATCCGATCAACGTGATTTTTTACAGGCATATATTACTCGATGAGTTCTACATATTGAACAGTTCGGATTATCAAAACGGCACCCTTAGTGGGCCCCAAAGAGCCCAACATTGCCATCAAACTTTGTGACTTATATGTAATTTTTTTTTAAGCCCAAAAAGTATATAATAGTCTTCCTGCTTCACAAGTACGGCTGACAGCATCCATCAAACTTTTGTATTATAAAATATATAAAATATTTTTTTAATATTTTTTATTTGTAAATAGTAACAACTTTTTTACTTTTTGTATAACTTTTTAACTTTTTAAATTATTTTAAACTTGTCAAACCTGACCTTAAGGATGATAATTTTTTCCTATCTTGCCTACCCGCACATGCTCGCCCTGATTTAAATTTTATTTGTTAAGTATATGTATATGTATAATTTAACCTTTTTGAAATATATTAAAACTAAAATATCATACTTAAGGCCAAGTTTGACAATTCAAAAATAATTTATCTTTTTATCTTTTTTTCATCACATCACCTCTCCACTTTTCTGCACATTTTTTCGTAAAAAGACAAAAAGTACACTTATTTAGGTCATCTCAAACAACCCTTAAGTCTCGTTTGACAATATTACTTTTTAGTTTACAAATCAAAAAATTATTAAAAAAATTAAAAAGTCGACAACTTATATCAAAAAGTTAGAGATTCTTTTTTCTCTCTACTTTTTTACTCTTCTTTTCGTAAAAAATAAAAAAATCATCACAAACATACTAATTTTTTTATATCATATTTTAATCAAAAAATTAAAAAGTTACTAAAAAAATATGTTCTTGGGCCTTGGTATAACTTTTACACATATATATCATCTTATATCTTTTAACCCTCATTAATTATAAATTATTGTTTATAATATTTTATATTAACTTTAATTTTTTAAATTATAAAATTATCCTAATCCCATCACCTTCTTAATTACCCTACCTCTAATATGACGACAAACCCGACCCAATCCCATCCCTAATTACATGTTATTATTGGCGAGCCAAACGCCACAACGAAATTGCCGAAAATTTGATTGACTGATTGGGGCTTGTGCTTGGCATTGTTTTGGTGCTCGGTCCACAGTCTTCTCACTACTATATATAAACCCCCAATTCTCATTCTCTCTCTCTTCTCTGTATAAATAAAGCAACCCATTTTCGTTCTTTTGTGCCTATTCTTCCCTTTTCTTTTGCATGGCACTGTTACTGCTTCCTGTTAGCTCCTAAGACAACCCTCCCTTCATCCCTTCAACTCTCTCTATCTCTCCATATATCTACATCTACATATACACACACACACACACATATCTGTCTTTGTTTTGGAATAGCCCAATTGGGTTTTGCATTTTGATTGATTTTACTGATTGATTTTCATCTGGGTCTTGTTTTCTTGATCGAATCCTTCTTGTTGAAACCCACTCGGGCTCTGTTTTCTTGAAGGAAAAGTGGGTGTGGGTGTGTTGTGTTGATCATGGCATTTGATGGACGATGGGATGCTGAGAAGATGTGAGTTGATATGATTATGATTCAATGTGATTTTCTTTTAGAAAGTAGTTTCATGGGTTGATATTTTATCCCCTAATTTTGCTATTTTGTTTTAAAAAAATCGATTTGGGGGGTTTTTAGGCTTGACATGTACATATATGATTACTTGGTGAAAAGAAACATGCGTAAGGCTGCTGAGATATTCGCCAAAGAGGCTGATGTTGATAACGATCCTGTTGGTATGTGTTCTCAGCCCCACTCCTATTGATATGATTAATTTGATTTATATTTTATTATCAATGTGAGTGTTGGAATTTTCAAACATCCCACTCAAAACCCATTTGTAATGGATGGAGAGGCCTCTTTGAGTATGGGCAACTTTTATAGAATTGATGCTAGACAAGTTTCTAATACTCCCTCACTTGTGTGGAGGTGATAGAGAGACGAACAAGACGAGACTACTAACACTAGGGTTTTAAATATGGGCCTTTGGACTTCTGATAATGTGATTTATGGATATATCAGCCGTCTATGGTTCTAAATTGTGGTATCGGGAAACGTATCAATATCAATCTCGAAGTATCTGTATTGGGAGTTTCGGCCAGTACATGTCTAGGTTGATATATGACCATATTGCTAATACTGACACTGATACATATCCTATATACCATTATTTAAAACCATGCCCAAGATCCAACTTCGATGCCATGAGGATAACTGAATTCTTGAAAATGCTCAGATTGATTCTAGTGATTTTAAGTTTTGGAGAATAATTGACGATCTTACATGGTATCAGTCGTCAGGTTTTAGGATTTTCTGAGTTCAAATCTTGTCACCCCCATTGTGCATTTTATTCTGCCTGTGTTTGTGTACTTTTACTCAGTATGTTTGTCTCTGCATTTACAAGATGGGGCACACATGTTGTGAAGTGTTAACATGATGCGTGTTGTTGGATCCATTTCCTAATAGCTTAAGTTTTTGGGACAATTGGTGATCTAGTAGCAACTCCAGCGGTTGGTATTTAATTGTGCTATTGCTAAATTTTGGCACGATAGGCACAAAACACACTCCAACAGTGTACTATTCATCATGCCAAATTTTAGCATACTTTAGTAGTGAGTACTAAAATTTGAGGTTTTTTGGTTTTGTTATTACACTCCATGATGAATTTCATAATATATGTGCATTATTGTGATGTCCTGATGTTTCTCTCAGATGTCTGATTGTTCATTGATCACTAGTGTAGCTACCTAACGATGTGACTGAATTGCACTTTATATGTGGGTTGGGTTGTGCTTTCTTGTGTGTCAATTAACTGAAGGATTTTTGCTTTATTTCTATGAAACATGATGAATGTTATGAGATATTTTTGTCAATGCAATGTGTCACTTGCTCTTGTCTGACCTTGTTTGGAAATCTGGAATTTTTGTTTTAGCAATCGATGTGCCTCATGCTTTCTTGACTGAATGGTGGACAATATTTTGGGACATATATTCTGCTGGGTTACCGACACATACTGAGGCCATGGGGAGGTCCTCTGTTAAGGTGTTACTTCAATGAACTTTGAAGCAATCACGTATCATATTTCTGGTTCTAAGACAATGTAATTGAGATATTCCTTGTTTAATTCTCAGCCTACTCAAAGTATGGAGAATGAGCAACAGAATATCTGTCCTACAATGAATCAACAGAGGCCCAGACAGTTTCCTATAAGTGCCGATTTTGACAAGATGATGGGGCAATCAGTGGCAGATTTGTCGGCTTCAAAAAATAAATTGACTGTCTCAAAGCCATCTTCAAGCCATTCTAGGTATTTCTAGAACAAATCTATTTACTATATTTGTTGCAAACTTGCACTGAAAAACTAATTGTTGGGATGACTTCGGTAAGAATTATGAACTGTGTAATTGTTCTGATCGAGGTTTGAGAATATGATACCAAATATCTTTTCGTATGATTTTTGTTCAATCAAATTGATCACAGAACAAATGGACTGTCTTGCTTTGCTTATTCAACAATCATAAGGACTATAGCACCAAAAAACTAATAAATAGGGAAACTTAGATCACCCTTTTTTTTCGGGGTAAGTAAGAATTATATAAAAAGAATGAAATTTTGTGCATCATTCAAGGAGCATACTCCGGGCAAAATCTTACAAATATCAAAACCCGAGATGACCAAGGGTATTGCATGAGTGATCACTATAATTTTTGTTTCTAACTTTTATGCTCTAATTGGTTCACTAGAATGAGATGGAATGGAATTGTCATTCCTTAGGCTCCCTTACAGAATGATCATTCTCTTATAATGGTGAATGATGATTCTATTTGCAATTTATTTTTCATTATTTTTTTTAGTTAACCAAACATTGGAATGGAGATTTTGATGGAATGATCATTCCATTCCACACCATTCCAATGAACCAATATATTGGGAATACTAATTTCTTCTGTAACTTGCATTCATGCATCAACAGCCACTCCTGGCAGCAAATTTCTCAAAAGGCTCAACAGCAGACTGCAAGAGTATGGATTCATCTATTATGCAAAAGCTCTAGTGCCTATTCATATTTGATGTACCTTAATTCAAGATGAATAATTTTACATGTGTTGCAGGATAAAAACCATGTTGTTACTTTGGGAAGAAATATCCCTGTGGACTCTGCTTTCTATGGAGCACCAAAAGCCAAACTTCATGACGCTGGTTTGTTTGTATACTAATTTAATTATTTTGAAGACAAATTTGGGCATTATAATTAACCCCGTGAAGTTGAATTAATGAGATACCATGGGCAGTTTTTTGTTTTCCTAATTTATTGAGGGACACAATACTTCAACAACATGTCACATCCTGCTTTTGCCTAGAACATTAGACCTTTTTAACTTTTTAAATTCACATGTGATTGACTACATATGTGACAAGGTATGAAGCTACAAATTGTGCAATTGTATTGTGATCAAACACTCGATATTTTGCAAACTGAAATGACATTTCATTAATCAACAATTCTATGCTACTTTTTGATTGTTTAGTTTCCATGCTTATTCATATTCTTTGGGAGACATGTCATTCTTGGATGTTGGCACAAAGCAAGAATCTTGAAGCAATATGTATAATTATGCAAATGATTCGAACCTGAGTCCTGTCTTACATATTTTGTAAACAGCATGAGGAAAGAACTTGATAGAGAACTGGATCTTGCGTTTCTCTACAACTACAGCAGGCTATCATGTGCATGATGATGTGTTTTGACTGGAAAGAGTCATAAGTTGACTTGATTATCTTGATGTAGGGAGGTCCTTTTGTGAGAGTATAGTTATATGAAATGACTGCACTATTACATTTAAGAAACATCTCTCCTTTAGTCCTATTTTAATTTGAGTGTGATTGTTATGTGAAAACAAAATGGGTCGGAACTCTTTTCTTAAATTAATCTCCTTCCTTTCATCATTGATATCATGACGAATGAAGTTTTTGGAATGCAGTGATTTTATATCATGATAAGTCTTCCTGTAAATTTCTGTATTCCCTTTGTGATTTTAATTCTCGGTTACTTTCCCAAAATGATATTCCTAACTATTTATCCCAAAAAAAAAAAAATGATAGTCCTAATTGATAGTTGGAATCAAGGCTTGTTGAGTTGAGTGGTGTTTAGATGGTTTTGATTCATGATACTTGCCCTTTTTCAGGAATGGAAAAAGGGGCCAATTTGATGCTATTGAACGGATGGCCTTTCACTGTAAGTGGTGTCCTTAATTTTCGTACTCGAAACTTTTCCACTGCAGTTGCAGTCTAGTACTAGCTTAAATCCTCAGTTGAGTTTGTTTATCTCTTTCAGGGAGTTGACCAAATTTCTTCTAGAATGGCTTACCCAGTACTAAATTCAATTTTACCAGTGTCAAACCAACAGCAATATTTTCAGACATCAATGGCTCATCATCAACAAGAACTTTTTAGTCAAGCAATGGAAAAAACACTAGGGAAGCAAATATATCCCTTTCAAGGAAACACTAACAATTTGGGCAATATGATGCTTCCTAGGAAGGACTTAATTGGGGCAGATGAACAAGTAAGTTACAAAGACTTGGAATTTTAGTGGTTGGTTCATTCAAATTTGCAGCAGTGGTTCATAATTGGAAAACCTGCATTTGATGAGATATTGTTTAGATTTTTCTCTTTTCTTTTCTTTTTCTTTTTCTTTTTCTTTTTTTCTTTTCAATAGAAAAAACTTTTGATATTAACAAGTTTTGAGTTCCATAATAAATTTAATTTACATGCACATCTGTGTTGGAAAATGTTTATTTCATACATGGCTATATTATATTCGCTGATGCTATCATTCTTGTCTTCGTTATTTTTGTTACTATTTTATTGCTATTGTTGTCGCTGTTATTTTTTTGCCATGATTATTTTCTTGCCATGTGACATGTTCATCATGCCTCTAGTTGCTTGGCACTTGAATTTTTTTGAGGTCATGATGTAAGATACATTGTAATCATGTTGCCTTATGTTCTCTTTCAACTGCATATCAAATTTTATATATTTTTTAATAAGAAACAAAACCTCTAGTTCATGCATGTTCTAAATTCTAATGTCATGCCTTAGAAAAAATTGATCAAAATAATACTCCCACTTCCTCTCCTTGTAAAATGTAAGGAGAATATAATCTTTTCCATTGTTTTTAATGACTAAATATAAAGTAGAGGTTTAATATTCTTAGATCTGTTTTATTTGTGAACATATAAAATCTCTTCGAGTATTATTTAAACTCATAGTGATGTATGAACCTTTTTGGTACTTCAATTAGAATATTTATTTTGGGTAGATTTCAGACATTGAATGTAGACAAGTTTAGCAAAGAAAAAAAAAGTTTGACTATTACTATAATATTGTCCTTTTACATGACAAAACTTATTACTATAATTTATCCAATAATTTTATCATTTATTATACGTTTATCGATGGTTCAATAAAGAGGGAAAGAGAGGGTAAGTATATTCTTAAATTTTTAAAGTTGGGTTCGAATGCCTTGATTGCTATTGATGCAATTTCTAGATATAATGCTTGTTATCTAATTGAAGGAGGTTTATATTCAATGCTGGTCCCGCTAATTGTGGTGGTGCTTGGCGGGGTTGGCTGACTGGATGCAGACCTAACCTCCACCTTATCTGCATGAAGTAATTGCCCCTTAAACACAAACCTGTGTTTTCATGGGTGCTTTTTTAAATATTTTTCATTAGTCTTTTCATCATTCTTGGTATCCTGTAGCCACTTCTCTTTTACTAGTGAGCAATGGATTGATTATGACTCAGATGATGGTCCCAGGGAGACATACAGCAGAGCAGCAAATGGTTGTACCTAAGAAACAAACTGCAGAACACCAAACAATGGCACCCATGAGACAAACCGTAGACCAAAATATGATGGCCACTGTGAGACAAATGGCAGAGCAACAACAAAATGATCCGTTGGCACAGCAGAAATTACATGAGGTTGGTTGGGGATTATAAAGGCCAAATTAATCCGTTCATTTGTTTGGAAATTTAATATCGAGAACCTTTTATCTTGGTGGATTCTGTCTATTGTTTGCCAATATTTCATGATATATTCCTCTTTTGGATCAGACTATCAGAAAGAGGAAAAAATTATCAAGTTCTCAAGCTGAGAGTGCTTTGGTAGGTTATACATCTTAGGTGATCATTTTTGTTGATCTTATCGCTCACCAAGATATACTTATTCAGTGTATATGCCAATTTTGTTCATCTTCCCTATCGCTATAATTTCTTTTGTTGTTTTTGTAGGATGGAAAGGATGCTGAGGTGCCAAAACCCTCAAACAACAATATCGAGTCTTTTTTGTCCAATGATGACGACAATACTGATATTATGAGCACTCAACATCCTTCAGCTTGCAGCATAAATGAACAGAATGGTAAATGAATACTTCAGTTTACAGTGTAATATTCTCAGTTCCATTTATTATTTTATTTATAATCTGGCAGGATTCTCTTTTAAAACTGTTGGTTCCCTCAACTTAAGCAAAGGCAAGGTCCTCTGCTGCCATTTTTCATCAGATGGGAAGTTATTAGCTAGTGCTGGTCATGATAAGAAGGTTTGATGCTACCAATCTTCAATGTTCAGCTTAAGCTTTATGGAAGCCAGTTCTTAAGTTTTTTTTTTAAATAAATATTTAAATATATATATATATATATTTTATAAACAAAGACTAAATTGCAAATTTATGTTACAGGTCCTGCTTTGGAAGATGAGTAATTTTGATTCTGTTGATACTGCAGAAGAGCATTCTCATCTCATTACAGATGTTCGGTTTAGACCGAGTTCAAGTGTTTTTGCCACATCTTCTTTTGATAGAACTGTGCAAATATGGGACGCAAAGAAAGTAAATATTTCCTCCCTTTATTTCCTCATGATGCTTTTCTCACTTTAGATTTAGATCTCTCTCTCTCTCTCTCTCTCTCTCTCTCTCTGTGAGATTTGAGGACTTATTTTTAGATAGAATTTTATACCATTTTTCTTTGTTATTTCTCTATTTGTTTAATTGCTTTTAATTCAATGGATGCTTTAATCTCATCCACTCTTTTTTGTTTTTGTTTTTGTTTTTCCAGTCTTTATTTATGTTCAACACTTTTTCTCCTGATTGTTATTAAAATTTATATACTATATGTCTACTTATCATTGTCAACGTGATATCTACTGCCCCAAGTTTGAGACCTGTTTGGGGACATAAAGAAGTGTTCAAATGTTTTCCCTGACTGTCTGCAAATCATTGGTTGAAACTGAAGATTAACATAACAAAAATTTGTTAGTTCGAATTGAATTCCTGTCCAAAGTGAAATTCCTCTTGGTTTACAGAACATACTTCCAAAACATTGCACACTTCTTGAGGGAGAATTTACCATTTTCTACCAGTAAAAGACAGAATTTTTTCCTTCTTGTTGGAAAGGCATTTTATGTTTTCTATACATAGGAGCTTTGGTTAGTGAGACAGCAGTTATCTCCTTTTCTTTTAGACAAGGTTACAATATATTGATCTTTATGATATGTTGAATAACTTAGCAGAGGACATGATCCTAGATCTGAATGGAAAAAATGGATTTGGTGTAACTAACCAAAAATAGATGGGGCATTCAAGCTTTGTTGAATATTCTTATGTTGATTACATTCAAATGGCAATTTGATTAGTCTAAATAATTGTATGGGCAGTTTATTGATGAAAAAGTAATTTGTTGGGCCTTATAATTATTCATTGATAGTATTCTCTCTCTCTCTCTCTCTCTCTCTCTCTCTCTCTCTCTCTCTCTCCATTTGATTGGACATAAGCTTACATGTTTTTATCGATGAGATATAGCCAAGCAAATCACTGTGCAAGTTTGTTGGGCATGCTGAGCAAGTAACTTCATTGGATTTTCACCCAAGAAAGGTGGATCTCCTCTGTTCCTGCGATAGTAATGATGAGATCCGACTGTGGAACGTTAACAAATGTACTTGCACACACATCTTTAAGGTAAGAATATATGCTTATGGAATAGCACCAGAATAGTTTCATTTTTTACATTTTGAAATGTAATTTTGTTCATTCTCTCATTTCCATTATATTTTCAAAATTTCTGTAGTGCTTTTTGCAATGCTATATCTTTGACCAAGTCCTGGACTCAGTTCTTAATTAAGGGCCTTGTATATTGATCATCTTCCATTGGTTTTTTGAAAATTGGTTTCTTTGTTTTATAAAATGTAGGAAATAAAATAAAGTCAATACCTCCACATTTAAAATACCATGTTTTCAAGTTGATGCATACATTTATTGGCCTGATTGAGCATTTTATTATCTATAGTCTAAACTATCTGTAATCCTTTATAATGCAGTATCTCTATTCTACAATCCTTAAATTGATAAGATCTTGAAACATTTACCTCTAACACTCCATTTGGATCACGGAATGAGAAAAAAAATGATTGTGTTTTCTTACTATCATGTTGATGAGTAAGAAAGCAAGTATGTGATACAAGGATATGAGTGAGATTTCTTTTTCTCCCTATGTATTTTAATTGGCTATCTTAATATTAAGGAAAGGGTCCTGCTAATGACAGACCCATCGGCTGTCAATAAGCACTACAAAATGCCAAAATATTTATAATTTCAATACATGTTTCACATATCCCAAAATATTTTTTTACACATTTCAATACACAATACACTTATTACATAATTTTCCAACACTAATGACAGCCCTAAGGGCTGTTTTTAGTATTTTTCTTGTGGGAAATACTAAACCAGGCAGTTCGTTTCTCATCAAATCTCACCAAATGTGATGAGAAATGAAACTCATAAAATAAGAAAGTTTTCTTTCTCACCATTTCTCACCGGACTTATATGGCAAACATGAGCAAAGAGTTTTCTTTCTTTTCATTTCTTATTGTTTCTAACAATATCACTTGATCCAAATGGATCGTAAATGTGGAGTTATGCTTTGCCTTTTCAATCTACTTCTGTGTCCTTTCAAGATGATATGCAGTATTTTAGGTTTCTCTTTTAAGCTCTACCTATGTCTTCCTATAAAATTAATGCAGGGAGCTTCTAGACAAGTTAGATTCCAGCCTCGAGTCGGGAACCTTTTGGCTACTGCTTCAGGAAACAAAATCAGCTTATATGATGTTGAGACTAACAGCCTCCAATATTGCTTAGAGGTATCTAATTATTACACTTCCTCACACTGCACTGAGATTCCAATTTCTGTTACGATACTTGTGTGAATTTTGTATGTTTTCTTTGATTTTCTAGGAACATGTCAAAGAAGTCCGCTCGATCTGTTGGGATACAAGTGGGAAGTACATTGTATCCGTCAGTGAAGACAGTGCACGGGTGTGGTCAGTTGTGTCGGGTGGAAAATCCACACATGTGTTGCATTCTAACGGCAATAAGTTTGAATCATGCACATTCCATCCTGCATATTCTCAGGTCTTGGTTATTGGTTCTTACCAGGTAAATGAAGTGCTGTTTTAACATCATTAGTTGTTATTTGTTTAGTTCTGATTGTAACTTTTGTCCTGAGATCAGTCTCTTTCCAAGACCTATTTTCGACATAAGCAAGGGAAGCCCAGAGCCGGGAGAAACATAGTTTCCATTTTTTCTGTCACCATGGGGAGAAAAACCCCTACCAACATACTTGTCGCCATACACAATTTCTTGACATATGCCTATTATATTTGTGTTCTCTCTCTGAAATTGTTAGCAACTCTGGCTTTTCCTAGTTTTGAGAACTTAATGAGTGTGTGTTTCTGTCTATGAAGCATGGATATGGATATGGGATACAAATACAATACAGATATGGCAATATAACAAAATCTAAATAAATAGAAGATGGGTATGGCCACGGTACATTGAAAAAAGAAAATTATAATTTTTATTTTATCATACATGAGCTTAAAAAATTTTGAGGAACCATTCTTTAGGACCACCTCCCAAGCCTTTGCCAACAAGCAAAAGAAGTCCTTCACAGCCCAACTTCACCCAAACTATATAAAAAATAAAGAATATCATATTCCGATTTTGGTGGCCATTATATAATTCACCAACCCATCAAAACCCTTTTCCTCAAATTATCAGTGGTAAAAATTGCCTTCCCATGTGACAAGTCTGTGCAAAGAAGGTTACTTTAGAGGGGTGCCTTCGGCCACAATTAGTTTTTGAAATTTTTTCTGAAAATTTCTGGAAACTCAACCAAACAAACGACTTTGACAATCGATGTTTGCTGTTATTTTGTAGTTTCGAGTAAAAAGTTTGTAATTTTTTAACGTTTATGTTGTCGGTCCTCATGGTGGAATCGTCTAATCTGAGTGTCCTTGCAGACACTTGACTTCTGGAATCCAGCTGAGAACAACAAGACTTTGACAATTGGTGCACACCATGGTATAATCACTGCTTTAGCAGATTCTCCTCAGACCGAAATGATTGCTTCGGCAAGTCATGACGGAGTTGTGACATTATGGCGATAACAAACGGTTGCTCGCTCTGCCTGTACATATGGACGATTTGGCATTTTACAGGTTTTGAACACAAGACAGCAAAATGGTAAGGCTCCGAAAGTTGCATCAGCGGGAATAAAAGCCATTGCTGAGGATACACCTTTTGTCATAGCTTATAGAAGAAATAGTACACATACATACATATATACATGGGACTTGGTGATCAAATATTGCAGTGTTAGAACTTTTTTTTTTTTGGGGGGGGGGGGGGGGGGTGTGGCCATATTGATTCTACTTTTGGATTTTGAGAATTTTATCAAATTTGAGAATCTTAAAACTTCATATTAATGAAATCAATTCATTCTGTTTGAGAGGTTTATGTTTGTTTTGAGTAGATATTTCATAGTCATTTTGTCCCTTAACATCTTTATTCGAGGAAGGGTTGTTCATTCAAATGATACTGAAATCTGGGAAGGGAGCTCATGATTGCTATTTTTAGTCTGATCCTCGATTTCGTACGTGGCATGGGTAAAACATGTTAATTCATAGTCTTTTTTATTGTGTTTATGGGTCTGGTCATAAGCTTATATGATTTGGAAGGTTCATTTCCTGTTAAAACTTAGCATTTAAATTTCAGTAAATATTAAACAATTTTTTAGATTTAAAAAAAAATAGTATTTAATTGTTAATATTATACCACCGTTCCAATGGTGGTATAATCACTATGATCGCTATCACACCACTGCGACCTTCACTCTACTACCACCACCAACTCTCCACCCCCATCGTATCACCACTAATAAATTCACTTTCGTTATTATTACTGTCACCACCTCACCATTGTCAACACTCCACCTCCACTATCACTACCACTACCATCACGACCACTGCTCTCCACTACCAACACCATCACCACTACCCTCAACCACCTCCACCACTACTATCATCACTACTACCCTACTCTATCAACATTAACACAAACACCACTACCACCACCACTACTACCACCATCGTTGTTGTTGTTGCTGTTGCTGTCACTACCATTACCATTATCACTCCACTACCACTATCCTTGCCACTGCCACACCTGTATCTTCAGAGTCATGTTGCCACTATTACGTCTACCATTCCATTACCATAACCATCAGCATTACCATAACCACCACACAATTATCACTGTTGCTCTCACTTCATGACCACCACCATCTTTGCCAATTTTATCACATCTCACACAACCACCACACATCCAAACTATCATGCCATCACCACCATTCTTACATTGTTGCCACTATCTTACCACCACACAGTAAGGTCACGTTTGTTTGGGAAGGGAGATTGGAGTATGAATGAGGTGGACCTCCTTATGCCATGTTTGGTTAGGAAATGTGTGGAGGGATTAGTATTCCTGTTGGAGTAGTAATCCTACACTTTGGGGGACTAGCAAAGTTTGGAAACACATGGGATTGAGATGCAATCCCATGGGATTAATGGGTAAAAGACTATTTTATCCCTTAGCCTATATGACTATAATAATGGAAGAAGGATAATTATGGAATTTCATAGGTTTAATCCCAATCAATTAATGCCACCACACTATTACACAAACATACAACTTAATACCACTATATTACTATACTCCTCACTCAATCTCACATTACTCATAATCTCATCTAACATACTTCACCAAATAAACATGACCTAACTGTTGTTGTCGCCACTACTTTCACTCCACCACACTACCACCAACACTACATGGCATTACTAGCCTACCCCTACAAATATGAAGAATGTAAGAGATAATTTAAAGAATTAAAAACAAAATCTTAAATTTCAACTTATTTTACATATCAAACAATTTAATTTAATTTAACATTTAAATTTAAGAAAATAAAAAATAACTTCAAATTAAAAAATTCAACATTTAAATTTTAACTTTACAATTTTTTAAAATTTAATAACTCAATTCAAATCAATCAAGTTCTATCGACTCGTGTTACACCGACTTGAAGTAGAAATTATCTCATGAATTTGAAAGACGGTGGTGTGTTCATATAATGTGAGCTTATTATTTTTACATCATTTCTTTATATTTATGGCCATATAATTATTATGACTAATATTATATGCACCAATTAATACATTAATTAGTGTATAAATTGATGATGTGACATAATGCAAGATGTTTTTGATATTTGTAATTTATATAATGAGTGGGATCAATAATAATGTCATAACTAGTATTGATACACTAATTAATACACTGGTTGATCCAAGGTTTTATGGGACTTCCATACCACCACCGCTTACATCCATCCGCAGTTAAAAACAAAAAAACTTGGAAGTACAAGCTAATCCATGTTCCTACACGTGGCATCAGTTACCTACGTGTCACTCAACCACCATACCACCTTCTTCCTCTCTCTCACCTTTATAACTTGTTCGACGGCCAAGAAAGCGGTGTGAGACCCATTTCACAAAAACAGAGCAACAAGAAAAGAAAAGATCAGATTCAGAGCAACAATGTCTGCAATGTCTATAATCAAGAACACCATGTTCAACCTTTCAAAGTCTTTCCCTCAAACTCAATCCTCTCCTCTTCCTCTCTCTGTCTCTCTCCGTCCCAAAGTCTCTAGGGTCTGCTTCACTTCTGCTTCCAAACACTCTGAGGTATTAAACTAATCATACTAGCACCTTATCAACACAATACCCATGTTTTTAGAATTGTCTGTTTGGTTTTGAATTTTCAAAAATAGTTTTTTCAGTTTTCAGTTCACAATAGAAGATTAAGCAACTGTGTGTGCAATTGAAATTGTTAATATGCAGATTATTGATTTAAGAGTGCAGAGAGTGTGTTCAATAGTGGGAAATTGATTTTATTTTTAATTCTTATAGTAATTTGCTTTAGCCAATGTAAATGTTTCATTTTTTTATTATTATAATAATGTGATTGGGAATCAAGATTATGTGATATAATAAAATGGGCAAATTACATATACCTCTTTCGAGATTTAGTTAAATTACAGATATCTTTGAGGTTTCGAAAATTACAGATATCCCTTGAAATTTATATTTTCATAATAAATTGCCCCATGAGGTTTATATTTTCATAACATTTGCTCCCTAATTTGTTATGCAAATAGTACCTTAAGGGGTATCTGTAATTTCTCAAACCTCAAGGAGGTATCTGTTATTTTGCTAAATCTCGACGGGTATATGTAATTTGCCCTAAAATAATTAGAAGTCGTGGAGCACTCACATGTGGAAGACACTGACGATTATTTTAAGGAAAGCCCCAACAAAAAATGTCTGTTTATATTATTATTTTATTTTAAAAAATAAGATTATAAATTGTATGATTGAGTTCGAAAAGTTGAAAGATTTGGAAAAGGAAGACTCAGAATTTACAGCATACTAACCACATAATTGCTATAGGAAATTTTGGAAAAACCAAAAAAATAAAACATAAACACCAAGTGGGGCCTATTATTTTTAGTCATGAGATGTTTTAGTTTGAAATCAATCTGCATGTAAATAATAACCCATAAATTATAATTACTTTTATTTGAATTGCAGGGAAGAAATGAAGCAGAAGGAAGTTACAAGAAGGGGTATGGGACTAGTGATTCCGATAGTGATTTTGAAGATAAAGCATATGAAATGACTGAAAAAGCCAAAGAAAGAATGAAAGAAGGCATCGACAGAATCAAAGAAAAAACCCAAGAAATGAAAGACAAAGCAAAAGACCATGCAGAGACCATGAAGGACAAGACAAGGGACACAACAGAGAGAGCCACCGAGAAGGCGAAAGAAGGTACAAATAAAGCTGCTGAAACCGCTCAGTACGCAAAAGAAAAAGCTAAGGAAGGGACAGAGAGCACGGCGGAGAAGACAAAAGAGCAAGCCCATGGCATGAACGAGAAGACTAAGGACGCGGCAGGGACGGTGGCGGAGAAGGCAAAAGAGGGGACACAGAAGGTTACTGAAACAGCGTGGAGCGCCGGAGAGATGGTGGCGGATAAAACGAAGGAAGGGATGAGCAAGGCGGCGGAGGTGGCACAAAATATAGGAGAGAAGGCGAAGCAGACGGCGGCGGGGGCGTGGGGGGCGGCAAAGGAGACGACGCAGAAGATCAAAGAGACGGTGGTTGGGAAATCGGAGGACGATGAGAAGGACATTGATGATTATATTGAAGATCGTGTGAGGAAGCCTAGGAAGGGGGAGCATGATAGTGAGAAGAAGTATTGAAAGGGGGTATTTCTGTCTTTTTCGAAGTGCAAAATAATTTAGCTATGATAGTGTATGAATTTTGAAGTGGTTTTTACTTGAATATGTTTGTTGAAACTTTTGCAAGGTTTTTTGAATTTGTAGTATGTGGAAATGAAACTTTGATAAAATTGGATGGGAGTTTGGCTATTTTGTTAATCACACTAGGCTCCCCTATTCCAAAATGTTGGGGATTTAGACCCTAAAACAATTTTATTTGCTTGCACAAAACTTTCCAACAAGCACAACTATGGAAACCAAGCAGTCAACAGGAAAAAAAACCGGTACCAACACTAGGTAGCAAAGAAAATATAATAGAAGAGTAAATTATTGGCACCTCTTGAGGTTTGGTCAGTAGGTTTAGTTTGATTACATTTTACCTCTTGATGTTATGAAAATTATATTTCTTGTGATTAATAGTCTCATTTTATAAATCCGCTGGTTATATAAAAGGTAATAACTTCTGGTAGAAAAATAAATGAAATTATATTGAAAAAAAATATAAAGCAAATGAAAGACAAAAAAAAAAAGAAAAAAAAAAAGAAGAAAAAGTAAAGCAAAGTAAAAAAAGAGAGAGTAAGAATTTAATGTCTTTTTGATAGCAACGTTAATTCCGTTTAAATAATTATAATGACAAAAGATCCGTTTAATTTTTCAAACATCAGGAGTAATATGTATTAAATTTAAATTTTGGGGATGTAAGTATAACTTATCCATAATAGAATGTGAGATTGATGCATGATGAGTTATGCATTGTGGCCTTAACAATAATATGGAGAGAGAATCATGAGGGCGGAAAATGTTTAATGTTAAGGGTTGCTCCCAGGCAATTTGGTGAGGATGATAGCGGCCTAAGGTCATTTATATTTTAGGACATTTTTTTTTGTATAAAGTGAAAGTTTTATTAAAAATATAAAATTAAAAGTAATGATTCATACCCCCTTAAAAGTCTCACTCCCACCACCCCCACACAAACGTGGGGGTTGGGGATTGGGAGATCAAAACAAAAAAGAAAAGAAAAGAAAAGTTAGCCAATCAAATGCAAAGGGGGTGAAGGGAGTGACCCCCAAAGGGGGTCTCGACTTTTATTGTAAAATTAAAGTTACAGGAAATGAAATGTATTATCGAGAAAGATTCAGAAAGTACAAACTATCTTACTACTATTGTTTGCATCCACACAATCAATCCCTTAGTTTCACGATTTTTATAATAATAATAATAATAATAATAATAAAAATAAAATACCATGTGATTGTTACACTACAAAAAAAATTATTTTTTGTGACGGCAAAACGCCGTCTCAAATACTCCAAATGCCGTCGCAAAAGGTTTTTTGCGACGGTAAAGTGACTTTTTGCGACGGTAAGTGAGGATCGCAACAAAGAGTGTTGCAAAAGGGTTTTAGCGACGGCATAAGGGCGTCGCCTTTTTTTTGCGATAGGAAAATGCCTTTTTTGCAACTGAAAATTTCTGTCGCAAATAATGGATGAAAATCTGAGTTTTTTGCGACGGCAGAACACACCGTCGCTAAAAGTGTATTTGCGACAGCAAGCAGAGCCGTCGCTAAAGGACTATTGGCGACGGCAATAAAACTGTCGCTAAAGGTATTACATTTCAACCAATTTCCTATCTTTTGCGATAGTAAAGGTGCCATCGCAAAAAATCCTGGTTCAATTTTTTTTTGAGACGGTGTGTGCTGCCGTCTCAAAAAAAAAAAATGTAATAAAATTATTAAAATTATGAAAATGACCTGTATTAAATAAAAAATAACTTTAAAAAAATCAATAATTACAAAATAATATAAAAAGTCCAGTATATAAATAAAAATTCATGCATAATTAAAAATATGAAAATTCATCTTCTATTTTTTTCTTTTTGCTGTCATATATTGTACAAGAAAGACTAACTAATTAACAAACTTCATGCAGATACCTTTGCCACAACACCCAAAAAAAAAAAAATTTACAAATTAACAATGGACGCATAAGACTTTGCAAACAACTACAATTAGAAAGAGGTTCAACCCTTTCAATCAATTACCCCATCTAGGAAATGTTCTATGCACTCAATATAGGAGATAGAAAATCTGCTCCAAAGTCTCCCCCAAGAAAGACAAGTAGCTGCTGTCCATGTTCAGCACAGTAACCCACAAGCTCAACTACATTAGCGTGTTTAAGCTTGGAGACACTAAACACTAGCTCAAGGAAATCTTCATTGCTCTGCTTCCTGCAAGCTATAGTATCGAGTTTCTTGACTGCTAGTAGCTAAGAAAAACATAATTAAGTCAGAAAAGATTCTGTGTCAACAAAGGAAATAGTATCATCAAACTTCTATTAAAAACAAATCATTCACATTTCCTGCATTCCAGACCAGAAACCCTCTCAATGAAAGCATTCAACCAACACTAGAAATAAATGAAAATTATCTACAAAAGGCGCAAACAAAACTATATCAAAATTTGTCTAGTAAATGAAGAAGCATGTTTGATAACCATGATAAATTAATCATGTTTGATTTCCAATCTAAATGATAAATTAGTAAATAATAAAAGTGAACTTAAAAATCAAACAGTGTCTCTTTTGTTTTGTGATTCATCTGTTTTTTTTGGCCACAAATTGAACATTTGCATAGTTGGGATTTGGGAACCAAGGGTAGCACAACCCTAAATTATTATGTGCAAAACCCATTTTTTTTTAATAAAGTTATCAGGATATGTATCGGTATGAACGATACAATCAATATCAAACAGTATCGACAACTAATATCAATTAATAATCGCATCAGAAGTCCAAAATCCCAAATCATAACAGCTGACATTTAAAACTCTGGCAAAACCTCTTCATATTTGGTTTTTCATTTTTCCGGAGAAAGAGGGCTAAAAATATCTTTAAAATTAAACAGAGAAAATAGATTGCCCCATTACTTGGTTAATCTATATCAGCAGTCAGCACCAAAGGACAAAATAAAATAACAGATCATAAAAATATAAAATTCAAAAACAAAATTAATTCAAAAAATAAAAGACTGAAAAGTAGCGGAAGCACTGAAGATCATGGAGTTATTAACTAAACCCATGTCATTTTTGAACAAATTACCCTAAACCCTAAATTTATTTCTCAAACCCAGGATGTGAAATACGTTCAAAACAACTTGGGATTAGGGAAATCTGTTTCAAAATAACACGAGTTTAGTGATCAAACTCGTAGATCATACATAAATTTCTAAATCTACACATGCATAACAAAGATCGGAAAATACAAATTAAAGCAAAACCATCATCAGTATCTAAAATTAAAAGTAAATAAAAGAATATACAAATACTAGATTTGGGGGTTTAAGATTTACTAATAATTGAAGTAAGGAAAACAATATCAAAAAATTTAGACACAGTAGGCCACTAATTTTTGGGTTTTATCATAAGCACATAAAACATACATAATGTCAATAAGAGGTACGATAGTACCTCTGCCAACATGTGGTCAACTTCATCAAAAACAAGAATCTTCAAATAGTTCGTGCTCAATTTCTTTGTTGTCGCCCATTTATTGATTGTACCAGGAGTGCCAATCACTACTTGTGCTGTCACTGGTGCTTGTTTTGAAATTGGAACATAATTGCTGCTATCCATTGGTATAGCACATTCAGAAGTAATTCCTGTATAATTCCTCATCTTCTTAAGAACTTCCATATTCTGCATCATTGTCATCCACTACTATTGGTTAAATCCTAAACTCACAAACACTTTAGAGAAAAGTCCCAACAAAATGTGTACACATGATGCACTTGCTACCATTGATTAAATATTAAACTACATGTTAAAGAACACTGATCTTTAAACCCACCAGAGAACCATATATCATTAATTCATCCTTAGTTTCACAAACATTGCAAAACAGAACATAGCAAATACATAACTATATAGACTAGCAGCCAAATAAATAAATAAAATCACCACAGCGAACCCAACCAACAAAACTTAAACACCCACAAACAACCTAAAGAAACCACACACGACCACACTTTCCCCGCTTGGCAATTGGTTATTTTAGTTGATTTTATATTTCGCTTTTTGGTTACCAACCCATTCGCCAAATGAAGCCTAAAATCCAAAAAATTGAGCTTATATTTCATTAACATTTTCCTCAGATTTTCCCATTCCCTATCCAAATAATCCATGATCCCTTTCCCTATCCAAAGGTTGAGGGGAACCCTGAATTCACAAAGACACTTCAAGGATCAAAAGAGAACAAAATATACATAAAGGAATAAGTAAATATGATTAAAACTCTGAAATCCCAACCCAAAGAGTACCATTAATTAAAACCAAATTCACATGCCAAAAACATATATATATTAAACAGAGTTCAAACATTCAGATACTTGTAAATATCAACAAATACAAATTATGTACAGATTTGCATATGTTAACAAACCTGGATCGCCAATTCTCGGGTAGGGCAGATACAGAGCGCCAGAGGAGCAGTGAGTTTGGGATCAACACGGCTCAACATGCCAAGCATGAAACAAGTAGTCTTGCCAGAACCATTGTGTGCCTGAACGATCAAGTGCTTGTAAGGAGGGGTCAGAATCATAGGCAAACTGATCGTCTGGATCTTACTCGGCCTCTCAAACTTCATCTCCACATATAAACCCTTCAACAAATCAGCAGACAGATTCAATTCTTCGAACAGGTCTGCTTGGCCTCCAAATAGGTTTGCTTGCATACAGAATTTTCAATCAATTAATGTGAATGAGTGTGTGTATATATATATGAAATATGAATGCGTGATGACTGACTAGAGCTCGTGGAAGACGTGACTGCAAATGGAGATGGATTGAAGGTCTTCGACAATGGGTTTGAGATCTTCATAGCAGATTGAGCATATGGTCTTCGCAAATGTGTTGCCGCATACCATCTCTCTGTCTCTCTCTCTCTCTCCGTTCTCCGTCGTTTGCTGCCGCTCGATCGATCAATAGAGAGGGAGAGGTAAGAAGAGATTAGGGTTTTTTGGTTTTGGGCGAGTGGCGGGGAACAGAGCGGGAATGGAAAAAAAAGGGGGGGGGAATGGAAAAAGGGAGAGGGGGGAAGAAATGAAAAAATCAATTTTTTTTTTTTGAAAATTTAAACAATAAAACAACGTTGTTTAATTATTTTTTTTTGCAACAGGGGTTGTCGTCTTCAAAAAATTTTATTTTTTGTTAAAATAATTTTTTTTTTTTAAAAAATTATTTTATTTTAGTTACTAAGCTTGAAAATTTATTTGTTTCATTTTTTTTAATGAAAAAAAACTTATTATTATTTTTTTATTTAGTAGAAGTATCGGTAATATTTTAATGAAAAATATTGTAATGGTAGTCGTAGAGGTGAAATGGCGACGGTGGTAGTAGTGGTGGTAGTGAAATGGTGTTTGAAGTAGTAGTAAAGGTGGTAGAGGAGATGGGTGGTGAGAGAGAGAGATAAGTGGGAGACAGATAGAGGAGAGAGAGAGAGAGAGAGGTGAGCGAAAGAGAGACAAAGTGGTTACTAAAAGTGTATTTTCTTGTAGTGGATCGATAAATCGAGAGAGAGCTCAGTAAATAGAGAAGACGGAAGGGAAATAGTGAGCAACGCGAACATAGTGAGGAAGAGAGAGAGAAAGACAAATAGACAGATGGGGAGAGAAGAGTGATGAGTGAGAGAGACAAATAAAAGAAAGAGAGGAAGATGAAAAATAGGTGAAAAGATATAGAGAGAGAGAGAGAAAGAGCGAAAAGAGATAAACGAAACAGAAACAGAAAGAGATGAGCGAAAGAATGAGAGAAAAAAAGAAGAGAGAGAAAAGAGACAGAGAGAGAAGATAGATGAAAGAGATAGAGAGAAGAGAGATGGATGAGAGACACAGAGAAAAATAGAGAGACAGACAGACAGAGAAGAGTGATGAGTGAGAGAGAGAAAGAGAAGAGAGACAGAGACACAGAGAGAAGGAGAGAGACGGACAGACAGAGAAGAGTGATGAGTGAGAGAGAGAGAAGAAGAGAGACAGAGACACATAGAGAAATGGAGAGACAGACAGAGGAGATGGAGTGGCAGTGGTGGAGGAGAGGTAATGATAGCAGTAGTGGTAGTGGAGTGGTGGCGATGATGGTAGTAAAAGTGCATTTTCTTGTAGTGGATCAATAAGGAAAATGCCCTAGACCCCCAGTGGGAGTGACCCCCACCACCCTCACTGTTTTCTGGGGGTGCTGGGGGTCCCCAACATGGTTGGATCGATAAATCGAGAGGGAGCTCAATAAATAGAGAAGAGATAAGGAAGAGAGTGAGTAAGGCGAACACAGTGAGTGAGGGAGAGAGAGAGAGAGAGACAGACAAACAAACAGATAGGTAGACAGAGAAAGAAAAGAGTGAGAAGAAGATGAAAAAATGGGTGAAAAGACAAAGAGAGAGAGAGATAGAGAGAGAGAGAGAAAAAAAAAAGAGCGAAAAGAGATAAACGAGAGAGAGACAGAAAGTGATGAGCGAGAGCGCGAGAGAAAAAAAGAAGAGAGAGAAGATAGATGAAAAAGATAGAGAGACAGAGAAGAGATGAGCGAGAGAGAGGTAAGAGAGATAGAGAGATGGGTGAGAGAGATAGAAAGAAGAGAGATGAGCGAAAGAGACAAAGAGAGAAAAGAGATGAGAGAAGAGATAGATGAATGAGAGACAGAGAGAGAGAGAGAGATACAAATAAACAGACAGAGAGAGAAGAGTAATGAATGAGAGAGAGCAAGAAAAGAGAGAGAAAAAGATAAAAATTGGTGAAAAGATATAGACAAAGAGAGAGAAATAGAGAGAGAAAAAAAAGAGCGAAAAGAGATAAACGAGAGAGAGACAGAAAAAGATGAGTGAGAGAGCGAGAGAAAAAAAAAGAAGAGAGAGAGAAAACAGACAGAGAAAGGAGATAGATGAAAGAGATAGAGAGAAGAGAGATGGACGAGAGACACAGAGAAAAAGAGAGAGATAGATAGATAGACAAAGAAGAGTGATGTGTGAGAGAGAGAAAGAGAAGAGAGACAGAGACACAGAGCGAAAGAGAGAGATAGACAGACAGAGAAGAGTGATGAGTGAGAGAGAGTGAGAGAGAAGAGAGACAGAGATATATAGAGAAAGGGAGAGACAGACAGACAGAGAAGAGTGATGAATAAGAGAGAGAAAGAGAAGAGAGACAGAGACAGAGAGATATGAAGATGAAAAAATAGGTGAAAAGAGAAATGTTCAAAAGAGTAAGACGACGTCATTTATAGTGGATCAATAAATCGAGAAGAAGCTCGATAAATAGAGAAAATGGAAGTAAGAGAGTGAGCAAGGCGAACATAGTGAGGGAGAAATAGACAAGTAGACAAGTAGACAGAGAGAGAGAGAGAAAGAGAAGAGTGATGAGTGAAAGAGAGATAGGGAGAGAGAGATAGACAGAAAAAGAGATAGAGAGAGATAGAGGAAGAGATAGAAAAAGAGAGAGAAACAAGAGATGAACGAGAGATAGACAAAAAGATAGAGAAATAGAGCGAAAAGAGATGAGTGAGAGAGACACACAGAAAAAGAGAGAGACAGAGAGAGAAAAGAAATGGGCGAGAGAGATAGAGAGATAGAAAGATAAGAGAGAGAGAAAAAAAAAAGAAATGAGAGAGATAGAGAGAAGAGAGATGAGCGAGAGAGACAGAGAGAGAGATAGAGAGAAGAGAGATAGGCGAGAAACACAGAGAGAAAATGAGAGAGAGAAACAGACAGACAAAGAAAGAAGAGTGATAAGTGAAAGAGATAAAGTGAAGAGAGAGAGATAGAGACAAAGAGACAGAAAGATGAAAAAATGAATGAAAAGAGAAATGTTATATCAAAAGAGTAAGACGACATTGCTTTTTTTAATTTTTTTTTTTGCGACAGAAAGATATCGTTGAATTTATTCAAACCATTTTGTGGCTGTATATATATGAAGCTGTCTCAAAACCACAATCACTATGCTAGGTTAGAGTTTTCCATAAACTCTTTTGAGAAAATTATACTTTATTGTTTTCCGTGTTATATTGTTTTTACTGAATTTTTTTAATATTTAAATATTTTTTTTAATTTTTAGATACACCTAACATAAATACACCTAAAAATTAAAAAAATTGTAAATTTTTTTTTTAAAAATTCACTAAATACCAAAAATACAATAATTCAATACATTTTTTTTTTGTATTTTTATGTATTTATTAATTTTTAAAAATATTTTTTCATATTTTTTTTAGATACATCTAATTAAGGTGCATCTAAAAAAAATATTTAAAATTTTAAAAATATTCACCAAAAAAAAAAAAAAAACACGAAAGTCACTTTTTGCGACGGCACCATTTGCCGTCTCAAAAAATAAGAGTATTTGTGACGGCAGAAAATACCGTTGCAAATACTCTCATTTTTTGAGACGGCAAATTGTGCCGTCGCAAAAGCTCTGCTTTTTTGAAATGGCAAATGGTGCCGTCGCAAATACTTTGCTTTTTTGAGACGGCATTTTCTGCCGTCACAAAAAGTGACTTTTTGAGACGGCAAGTGTGCCGTCGCAAATAGTTCCGTCTCATAAACCCACTTTTTTTGTAGTGTTAATGTATTGTGTATAAGGAGATTGTAGTTTTGAAAACATAAAATCTTAGTCAACAAAGCTATATATGGTGTTTAATCTAAGTTAGTGTTTTAAGTGAGAATGCAATATGCATATTTTGCTAATAGAAGATCTTAGTCAACAAAGCTATGAATGATGGGTTTTAAGTGAGAATGTAATATGCATATTTGGATCTGACTTAAAGTAAAATTGCATAAGCATATTGTGTTGGTTTAAAAGACAATGCCTTTAATGACTATTTTAGTAGTTATTTCCCCTTAACACAGGCTCCCACGATATGAGCTCCCCTTTGGCCAGTGTTAACGATCCACACAGAAAATCTCTTGAAGAAGAAGATCACATGATTTGCAGCACCAAAAAGATCAAGGGCAAGGACGAGATGAGCGCTAAAGATATGGAGACCATTGATGCCTCCCCTTCCGTTTCACCAATTTCTCACTGCCCAGGCCCCACACGTGAACTATCACCCTCTCCTGAGGATGGAACACTTGCACTACCTAAGCCCAAATCGTTTAAGGATGCACTTGCAGCTCCTAAAAGCAACGGTTTTTACTTTGATGATGTGGTGGACACCATCTCTCCAGAGGAGGAAGCGGAAGAGAGGGACACTGACATACCAAAGGCAGTACCTCAAGGCATACCCAAAATATCTCTTCCAAAGCAACTTTTGTAACAAATATGACAACCTTGGACCAACTCACTTATTGTAAGACTTCTGGGCAAAAACATTGGGTACAGATTGCTCTGTACAAAAGTTAGAAACCTATGGGCCCTACAAGATGATTTCAATGCCATAGATTTGGGAAACAACTACTTTTTGTTCAAATTTTCTTCTCAGGAGGACTGTGCCCATGTTTATTCGGGTGGGCCGTGGGTTATCCTCGACCATTATCTCATTGTTTGCAAGTGGGAGCCTGATTTCAAGGCATCGGAAGCTTTTGAAACCACAACCGCAGTGTGGGTTAGGTTTCCGGAGCTCCCGATTGAATACTTCCAAGAAAAGGTTCTGTATACTATTGCTAAACAATTAGGGCGTCCTCTCAAGCTAGATCTCACCACAGCCATGGCTACCAGAGGAAAATTTGCAAGAGTTTGTATTGAGATGGACCTCA